ACTGGGGGTGGGGACGGCTGGGGTGAGGGGCGATATGGGGGTTTACAAGCTGGCCATGCCCCCGATCGGGGTGGGGGTCCCCACTGGGGGGCGGGGCCGGCCAGAGCGAGGGGCTGCAGTCATTCTGGTCTCTAGTCATTCTGGTCATTCTGCCATTTCGGTCGCTGGGCTTTTATTATATAGGATTTCTAATGCCACCTCCTCTACAAAACTGCTATTAACAGCTTCTCTTCTGATTCTGATTGCTACTATTAATATTAATACCAATAAATCTATAATAATAAAAGCATAACATGCTAATTAGACCAAATGACCTTCCAGAGGAAGCCAGGGCTGTGAGGGAAGCCCAGGTCCTGGGGGCCTGCTGGTGGCCAGAGGGAAGCCGGTGCCGGCAGCTGGGGGAAGGAAGGCCTACTCTTGCACGAATTTTGTGCATCATGCCTCTAGTATTATTATAAACTAGGGGCCCAGTGCACGAATCCATGCACCTTGAAAGGAACTGTGGGCCACATGGCTGTGGTAGGCACAAGGGCTGGTCTCGGCCCATCCTCCGTGCCTCTGTCCAGCCCCTCCTGCTGCGACCCCCCGTCTCCTGTCTGCCAGTAGCCCCACTCCCGCTGCCGCAACTCCCATGTGCTGACAGTGCCGGCCCTGCTCACACCTGCTGACGGCACGTAGTGATTGGGGCTGGCGCCAGCAGCGGTTGCGAGCGGGGCCAGCACCGTCAGCGATGTGAGCAGCAGCTGCTGCCCTGATTGCCCCTCAGGAGCAGGGAGAGGTGGAGAAGCCCTCAGGGGTGATCAGGGCCAGCAGCCGCTGCTTGCACCTGCTGATGGCACCGAGTGATTGGGATCGGTGCCGGGCACCAGCATCAGGTGCGAGTGGTGGCTCAGGCATTGGCTGTGAGTGGGGCCGACACTGGCAGTGGGTATGAGTGGTGGCTCCGGCACTGGCAGCGGGTGCGAGTGGGGCTGGCACTGGCAGCAGGTGCGAGCGCTGGGCAGGACTGCAGCGTGGGAGCAAAGAATTTTCAGTAACCACCAGAGGCTCGCCCCGATGACAGTGACCGGTGCCCAGCCTGGTCTGGTGCCCCTGCTCACCTGCCCCACCATCCCACTGCAGCCAATGCCCACCCTGTTCCACACACGCCCCCTGGTGGTCAGCACATGTCATAGCGACCGGTTGTTTAGTTGTTCCGGTTGTTCCGCTGTTTGGTCTATTTGCATATTAGCCTTTTATTATATAGGAGGATGCTTGGCTCACTTCCCCTAGAACCATGGTCAGCAAACTGTGGCTCGTGAGCCACATGCGGCTCTTTGGCCCCTCGAGTGTGGCTCTTCCTAAGCCTTAGGAGTACCCTAATTAAGTTAATAACAGTGTACCTACCTATATAGTTAAAGTTTAAAAAATTTGGCTCTCAAAAGAAATTTCAATCATTGTACTGTTGATATTTGGCTCTGTTGACTAATGAGTTTGCCGACCACTGCCCTAGAATGTAAGCTCCTCGGGGCAAGATCTTTGTTTTGTTTGCTGATAAATTTTAAGCTCCCAGAACTGTGCCTAGCACATGGTAGGCACTCAGTAAACCCTTGTTAATTGAATGAATGGTTCCTATTTATTGAGCACTTATTATGCAGGGCACTTTTGTGAATTATCTCATTCCATCCTCATCCCGATGAGGAAGGAACTGTATTTATTCCAATTTTTCCTGAGAGGAAACTGAGGCTTAATTGCCCAAGGTCACACAGTTGATACATAATAAAGCTAGGATTTGAGCCCTGATATGTTCAAGCCCTAAATACCCTCATTTACCACCTTTGAGCTTTGTCTACAGTGGTGCTTTGTGTAAAACTTTTCTGTAGGCTATAGTAGGTTTTCAGCAAATTCTCCAAGCAGGTAGCACAGTGTCTCAGACATGTTTGTGTTCAACAAATGTTTATTGAATTACAAAATGGGTGTGCTGCTCTGGCCAATGTGGCTCAGTTGGTTGGAGCATCGGCCCTACACTGAAAGGTCACCGGTTCAATTCCCCATTGGAGCACATGCCCTAGGTGGCAGGTTGGATCCCTAGTCTAGGCAACTGATCAATGTTCCTCTCCCACACCTCTCTCTCTCTCTCTCTCTCTCTCATCTCCCTCTCCCTTCCTCTCTCTCTAAAATCAATAAAAACACATCCTCAAGTGAGGATTTAAAAAAAAGAACTTTCTAAAAAAAAAAAAAAGGGTGTGCTGTTTAGGAGGCAGCATTTGGCAGTGAGTCCTTCTTGCACAATCAGTAATTCTGAGCACTGCCCTGATTGTTGCTGCAAATCTCGGCCCAGATGCTGCCTCTTCTAACCTTTGTTTCTTCGGCACCACGTAGGATCAGGGATGTCCCTGGCTGACCCACCCGCCACCCTGACCCCAGCCCCTGCCATCCTTCCTCTCCTCTGCCTGTCTTCCTGCTGTGGGCGCCTGATCACGCAGAGCAAGTTATGCCCCTCCCCGCTCTTCTCTTCTTGACCCCACACTCTGCTTGAACCTGACTGCTTCCCTGGTCATTCGTGACTGTCAGGGCAACATGACATTTATATAGATAATTGGAACGCAGTGCAGATTGTGATAAACACAGAGAGAGTCAGGAGGCACTGGAGGAACTATGAAGAGGAAGAAATGGCTAGTGACATGATGAAGGAAGGGGAAGTGAATTAAGTTACTGTCTTTTTGATTCCAGTAAAAGCTATGAGCCCAAAGGTTGGAATGCAACCTGACCTCAGGTAGAGATAGAAGTAGACGGAAAAACAGTCCAGGATCTGAGCAGCATTTTCTTTCCATGTCTTATCCTTGCTGTCTGTACATCTGTCTCATTCTGGTCTCTCTGGACCTCCTCTAGTCCACAGACCTCATTGTGGTGTGTGGCTACCAATGGCTACTGCGTTTATACTTGGCAAGACTACCTCTATCAAAATCACACAGAGTATGACTAACTGCTATGCTATACACCTGAAACTAACACAAAATAATGTTTAATGCAAACTGTTGTTGAAAAATACAATTTTAAAAAAATCACAATTCCCCAGGGAAACATACCTGATTGGCTCACTGCAAGTCAGGTGCCCTCCCCTGGTCTGATCACCTGCCACCAACAGAACAGGGTAATGTTGGGCGATTATGGCTGCCGGACCCCCATCTCTGTCCAGGAGGAAGAAGCAGAAAGGACCATTGTAAGTTGAGCGGATGCTCTGAAAATGTCCACTATACTTGGTTGTCTTGTGAAAGAATTCTAGGTGTTTCCCACAAAACAAAGCAAATTAAGAGGCTTCCTATCATGGAGACTGTTTTTCAAGAACAAATTCATAAATATGAGTCACCCTAAATAACTCAGATGATGTTCCAATGGTCTTTCTACACTAATTGTGTTCACCGAAGGTCTAGGTTCCTGGCTTCAACAAGGTGCCTCTCACAAATCTTGATGGCCTGTGAGACCACGGCATGAAAGACAGCCAGGCTGGGCATGGCTCCCTCCTCCAGGTCTTAAATGATACCCACCCTTCCCATCATCAGCCAGGGTTCTTTCCTCATTCTAATGAGCCCGGGGAACCAGGCCGGGGGAGAGAGGACCCCTCCCTTTGAGGGCTGCACACCCCGACAAATTCTGAGAGAGCCAGCTTCAGCCACTGCTCCCTTCATGTGCTTTGAGGTCAGGAGAGAGGGGATTAGGATAGATCCCTCTTTCATTCTGATCTGACCTTGCCCACTCGGTGCTCCATCAATCCACAGCTAGGTAGGGATCATTTATCTCAGGCCGAAGTGGGGACGCTGGAGTGAGGGTGCCTGGGCAGATCCGAAGCTGCGCTCTGCTCCAACCTTCCTGGACTTGGCCCTCGGCAGCGCGTAGCTTCGGCCACTGCTCCCTTCATGTGCTTTGAGGTCAGGAGAGGGGACTAGGATAGATCCCTCTTTCATTCTGATCTGGCCTTGCCCACTTGGTGCTCCATCAGTCCAAGGCTAGGTAGGGATCATTTATCTCAGGCCGAAGTGGGGACGCTGGAGTGAGGGTGCCTGGGCAGATCCGAAGCTGCGCTCTGCTCCAACCTTCCTGGACTTGGCCCTCGGCAGCGCGATGTCCCCTGGGGTTGGCCCCCGGAATGGGGGGTCAGGGTGCTGTTCTGGAGGATGGATGACTCTGTAACTCTCTCCTGGAGGCGGCTCCATGGCACCCCCACGTCCCCAGTGACGCCTCTCTGTCCTTCCAGGCTCCCTGGGCACGGCCGGCCGTGTGTGCAACCTGACCTCCCGGGGCATGGACAGCTGCGAAGTCATGTGCTGCGGCAGAGGCTACGACACGTCCCGCGTCACGCGGATGACCAAGTGCGAGTGCAAGTTCCACTGGTGCTGTGCCGTGCGCTGCCAGGACTGCCTGGAGGCCCTGGACGTGCACACGTGCAAGGCCCCGAAGAGCGCCGATTGGGCGGCACCCACATGACCCCAGTGGCCGTCGCGGTCCACCTTCCCTCCAAGGACTCCCCGGATCCGCAGGGACACTGGGCCTTTGGATTCTCTCAGGAGGCACGTGGCCTTGGTCTCCGCAGAAGCCTGTCCCGCCTGCCTGGGGTCCGGGACTGGGGCCACAGGCTGCAGGAGAGCGCGCCCCGCCCTCTCTGCCGCCAGCTTTCTAGGCACCTCTCTGCCCTTTCATGACAGGCTGTTCCAGGGGGAGGGGTGTGGGCCAGGTCACTGTCTCCACCCACCAGACGGTTCCTCTTCCCAGAGCTGTTGGCTCCTGGGAGAACCAGTGTCTCAAAGGAGCTTTCCCTGTGTTTCCCACAAATGCTCATGGAAAATCCATGCTTCTCTCTGGAGAGTAAGGTCAGGAAAGCAGGACCAAGTGCCTCTGAATTAGCTTCAATTTGTAAGACCAAGCAAGGCTTGTGCCAGACCGACCCCGTGATGGTCACAGCCTCCAGGGGAAATCGGCGATGACCTGGAGAAGGGCGGCTTTCAATAAACGTCAGGGGTAGAATGCATTGGGAGCAGCGATAGCAGACGCCTCAGAAAAGGACAGCCTTGCATGGCTGTCCTCTCAGTATAAAGAACTTGTGGGGAATGAGACTTCTTTCTCACGTAGGATCAGGAGAGTTGAGAAAACTGACACTCTGTCAGCATTCTGCAACTGTTGGGTGAAGATGGAGGAAAAGAACGTAGTGAATAGAGTATCCGAAAATGTGTTTGTACAGATACGGAAAAGGGGAGGGGATCAGATTCCTACCCGGGATGATGCCTGTGACCTATGGGATTTTGTAACTAAATGGCTTGGAGAAGGAGAACTTTGGGGATTACAAGAGCAGGGAACCAAAATGCTGACGGAGAGGTTTCCAGAGCTAAGTCCTGCCCAGACAGCCTCTGCCATAAGCAGATGGTTGGCCACGTGTGCAGAGGAGTACCAGCTAAGACTCACCACCCTTCACATGCATTTTAAAGACCTGACATATGTAATTGTGTTCATTTGATGCTGACGAGATGACAAAACACCGTAGCCTAAAGCAAATGACACGTAGCCTTGCTTATAAAGTTGGTAACCCTGGTATGTTCTATGGCAAACAAATTGTAACTTGGAGACTGTATTTAAGAGGCCCAGCTATCATTATGGGAACATCAGTGTACAGGCTGTGGTTGGCTTCTGCCATGAGCTGAAAGATGACTATCTGGGGGAAATGGAGAGGCTGCCCGTCCCGTTTTGAGTATTACATTTAAAAAATGTGAAATATATGAAGGTCCTTCTCATCCCCTCCTACAATTTGGTTCTTGTTCAAAATGTGATCGCTTCACAGAGCTATGTTGAGTCACAGGATGCTTCCTTATATGCATCTGACACCAAATTATTAATACTTGCTCATTCTTTACTTCTTTGGCCTCTGGTTTCTCTATCCTCACTTCACAGCAGGACATGTAGACGGAGGCCTGTGGGGAACAACTTGCTGGAGGACTTTGCCGTAGGGGATAGTCGCCTCCCAGCCCTCTTAACAATGACTGCATCCATGTCTTTTCCCTCCCCCCCGCCAAACCCCACAATTAGTTGTCTACTTTTTCCAAAGAGGCTCTTGCTCTTTTTATCCTATGGATTCAAAAGGGCAAGAGTGGAGTGTGACAGTAGCTACTCTGAGTTTAGTGGGGTCTGTGGGGAGTGGGAAGGCCAGGCAAGCGGGCTCAGTCCTAGCTACACGGAAGCTTGCTATGAATGCCTCGCTGGGAGGGCAAAGGGGCTTTCATGGAATCCCAAAGCCATTAGCCCTTCTTCCTGCTGGATGAACTGTGAAGTTAAAGATCCAGGGATGTATTTAGACATGGAAAGGGGCCTAGAGACATCTCAGCTGCCCTCAGTTTATATCTGGAAAACTGAGACCAGGGATCTGTGCCAGTATCAGCCCTTACTCCAGTGCTCCATCACAAACAGGACCACTCTGAGTATTCCAGAAAGTTAAGCACTTTATCTATTACATAAAACTAGCTTGTCTCAGGATCAACGCGGTAGATTCTAAACAATTTTAGCATCCAAAGGCAATGTTCCTGGGATGCAAATCTGACTTTCTTTTTATGCGGAAGTGCATCCTCCCTGACAAGGAGCAAGGGGATAAGGCATATCCATGTTCACATCTGCATAAATTGTCCTAATTTGTAAAGGAGACTCTGCCAACCATCTAAAGCAGCAGCAGATGTGGCCATTGTGGAGGGCATAAGAGAGTGAAGTATTTTTATCTGCTCTTTCTGAAAGAGGAAATCTCCATTATTTGAAAAAAATGAGAGGGTGGCGGTGAAGATAATTTCAAATTCAGTTTTGTTAGGGCTTAGTGAGAATTGATATTCCTTGATTGAATACATGGCATAAACTACCCAAAACAAAATAAGAGATTCTATTCAGGTCAAATCCTCTTACAAATTACCTCCCAGTAAAATGTCTTATTTATAAATTGACGTTTTTTAGGCCCAAGATGATATCCATTAATTAAATTCCACACAATAGGAGATCCTAATTCACTGAAGTGTCTTCAATAAAGACAAAAGTCTGAACGTGACTCTGAGACTTAGCAAATGGGTTGTTCTCTTCAGTAGTTTGCCTCCCTGAATGAATCTGTGGTGCAGACCGATCTGTCTTCTGTGAACACACTTGTCAAGCACATTGCAGTTACAGCCCCCTGGACAGCCTCACGCTCTGAAAGCCTCGATGCCCTGCCTTCAGAGACCAGCTTACCTGCTCAGATGCCTTAAGCTCAAGCACAAAAGCCCCCAGTGCAATTACCACACTCAGCTCTGGCTCTGTGCCCCTTGGGAGGGGGAGCCTGGCATGTTATTAGACCACAGAAGATTCAGGATGGGTGTGGGAGGGGCATAGGGCACCCCAGAGCACTGACTATCTTATACAAGTGTCGCCAGATTGAAATGAGCATCCCGGAAGGATCTATCAAATGGCAATGTACTCCGCAAGGAGCCAGATGATGGGAAGGGGAGTGAGAGGGAAAGGGCGGGTAGCTGTTGGCAAGTGATCGGCTGAGCACTTGTTGGTAACCTCCACCCTTCCTTCTGCTGTAACCACCCCCCTCCTCCCCTCCCAGCACCGTCTTTGAGGCTCAGAGCCTCAGGCCCTTGCCCAGATCCTCTGTACCTATTGCGTGGCTCTGCTAGAGTCTGTGACATTCATTTTAAGAGATGTTTTCAATTGTCCCAACCGTATTTCTTTTCATTGGAGTTACTATGTAGCTCGAAAATGTCACATTTCTTTTTCAAAGAAGATAGCTTTAAAGTCAGAAAATCTACCTTCACATTGAGATTTCTCAATCGTATTAACTTACTAAGAATCTTACCTCAACTCCATGAGACCTACAGTATGGACTTTCTCTCTCCGAGGCAGCCAACATGATTGTGCATGCGCTTGCGCTTGATGGCATTTTCAGGCCAGGATTTTGTTATTACTTCTCATTTATTAAAGGCTGGCCCAGGGCTGGTGTTTTCTCACTCAGCTGAAGAACATTCATCTCCCCTCTTGCTCGCTCTCAACATAAAGGCTCAGAGAGGCATCCAATGGACCAGAACCATTCTTTTGTATTTGTTTACTGTACTTCAACCTGGCTTTTCTTATCTTAAGAGCAAGAGTTGCGCACTTAACCAATAGATGTCACTGGTTCCAGAACCGGTGAATTGCTTCTGTCAGGTCTGTGCTGACCTTCTGAAGAGCGATGCACGGTGGGAGCTGACAGCTGAGGCGTGCTGATCCTGACCTCCTTCCCTCGGCAGAGAAATTTTCAGTCAGCCATGAGAATGTTCTTTACATTTTTCTGGGGATCAGCGAGTTGACAGGTGGTTTGCAAAGCCCAACATGATCCTTGTTTTTCTAAATCATTGTTGTTCCAGCTCTAGGGTTTCCCCCCCTGATATTCACGTGGACTCCTGTTTAACCAAACCTCCCACTTCCACAAGCTAATAAAAGTGTCACGCAGATTGTTACAAAGAACTATTGTTATTTACAAGTCTACATGTTCTGTGAAATCAAAACATAATAAAGTGACTTTTCAGTGTTGACTTTGTTGTTTTAATCTTGTGATGTCTTGCCAAAGCCTCTGGTGAAAAGAAATCCCTGCAGGTTCTGGGAATCATCCCCTTGCCTTTCTCAGGATCACACTCAACACAACTTGATCAAGGGGTGTCTTTCAAGTTTGTGAAGATTTTCAGGGAAGACCAATGACCTATCTTACTGATAACTAGTCTAGTGCGTGAGTGGGTAAGGCATTTACTGGATTGAAAAATTATTCCAGGTTTCCACCCTGTGTCCCCCTGTGGTTATCATGCAAGGGCCTGCGCCCTCTTGGTGCCAGTATGCTTTGGCAGTGCTTGTGAGTCTCCACAGCAGCGAGACACACCCCCCAGGACTTCTTTGAATCATTGCTTCCCATGTATGTGCTTGCTCCGGTCTGAAATGATAGTTTCAGCTTGATTAAAAACATACAAAACCCCTCTCTTTTTTTTGAGATCTGTGAATTCTGATTGTGTATGCTGCTTATATGCATGCAGTGAAAGCTCAGAATATAGAAATAAAACCTCCCCAGCAAAGGAAATCCATCCCCATTTTCTCCTCCCTGATGAACTGTTTTGGGGTCGACCTAACTAAGCAATGTGCTTACTCTGCACTGTAAGCACCCCAAGGTGGCTCCACGGTCAGACTGCTCACTCTCTCTAGGATTCCATTGTTCCTTCCATGCTCAGATGGTCTGAAGAAGAGGTGGTGTCCCCTGTGTCTGTGTATTTTGCAAAGGGCATTTCCCCCAAACATTTCTACCTGAACATTGTCAATGACATTTCCCTGTTACCTAGCCCTTTGTGTAAGAGGGCTGTGCTGCTCCTTGTAGGATCTGTAGAAGCTGCCCTGGCCCCTACCCATTAGATGCCAAAAGCAATTCCCCTGTTCCCCAGTTGTGACAACCAAACGTGTCCCCAGACATTGCCAAATGTCCCTGGTGAGGGAAAGAGGTTGCAAAGGTTGAGTGAAATGGCCATTTTCAGTTAGAAATGCCTCACTGGGAATATTAGTTTAATGGGATGAGTTCTCAGTATGAGTGTATCAGACCAGTTGGGAAGGAATCTTTTGGAAAAGATACCGTATTAGAACCCCTCACATCATGGGCGAATGAGACAGGCTGAGTCTTACTTAGGCCGCACTGTGTGTCCCCGGAAGGAGGAAAGTTTAGCAAAGGGAAACAGTAATGTGGTTTTAGGAGCTGGCAGCAGAATTCTTCTTAGGAACTCCCCAGTTTCACAACACTCAGAAGGAAAAACAAGCCCAAGATATGGCCTGGAAGGCGGAGGAGTGAGAATGCTCTAGCTCTGCCTAATATAGTTGAGTAATTTTTAGTTTCTCAGGACAGAAAGGAGGGTGACAACAAAGATAGAACACTGCAAGATGTAGGAAGTCTGAGTTTAAAGCAAAGAGACAGTGAGAATTTCCAGTTTAAGGTGGGGTAGGGGATCATCTGGAGGGCTGTTCATTGAAAGAACCCCCAACACACACACACACACACACACACACACGGCCAGATGTCCTTATCCCAGGTAACACTCGCCTTGTATGGGCGATATTTTAGTGGCAGGAAGGAATTAGGGTGCTGTCCAACATGTGCCAACGAAGGTGGGAAGGGGCAGCACAGGCTGGATGCAAGACGGGGCAGAGTGCAGAAAGAAAGAAGCCTGGGTGATTAGCCAAATAAAGAATAACCCCAAGGGCTGAAGAATTTGGGGCAGATAACTGGCTGAAAGGATGAAGAAAGCCTGTCTTCTTTTACTTGATGAATTTTCATGGGCCAAACCAATCACTTTCATTGCCCATAGAAGTGAAGAGCAGATGAGAACCACTTGGATGAATAACTAACTGTCTGTTCCCTCATGCTACTATGTACTTCTAGATAGTAGAGCAGGACTGAAATCCAACCAACATGATCAACTGACCAGACTGTTTTTGGACCCTTGATTTTTTAATTTCCAAGTAGTGACTGGCCCCGTGAAAGCCTCTGTGCTTGAGCCACAGGCTCTGGGTTTCCCCAGGCCGTCCACCCAATCCTATGGTAATAGGATTGCAGTCTTTCCTACATTCCACAAATGAGAGGACTCACATTACTGCCCGTAAACCCAATTCAAATCATAAATGATGCAGATGCATCCAGGATCTGCTTAGTTGGGTTGCTCACACTGGTTACTTCAGCAGAGGCTGGGAAGCTTGGCAAACCCATCTGTAACTGTGTAGGCGCTTCCTGGAGGTCATACACCAGCTGAACAGCAGGAAACACAGAAAATGAAATCTGAATTGGAGCCTCTAAAAGCCTATCTACCCATGTAAACTTTGCTATCTGCCTCTTGAGCATTATTTTCCAATAGTAATGATGGCTTAATGAAGGACCTTGAACTCTGAATCGTCATCATGAAGTCATGCTTAATCGAGACAAATATTCTCAGCATAATAATACAACTAGAAGGAGCAAGGATTAATTTCCCTGTATGTTGCTGTAACTATAAACAATATCTCATCCTCTCAGCAACTCTCATATAGCATGACTGAAATCCAGTTGGATGAATAAATAACTCTATCTCTTCCCTCATCTTATATAATAAAAGGCTAATATGCAAATTGTCCCCTCAACTGGGAGTTCAACCAGAGGGCGGGGCTGGCTGGCCAACCGCCCATGCCCCCCCACACACCCCCTCTGCTGGCCCGGCCTGATCAGCCGATTCGGGGTGGGCCAGCTGGACCCCACCTGTGCACAAATTCGTGCACTGGACCTCTAGTGAAATAATAAGCACTAGTGTTTTTTTAAGTGTTGCCACCAGCCCTTGCAGATTTTATTAGAATCATGATTCGCAGATGAGAAAGTTCCCTATTCTACAAGATTTGGTAACTGGAGTAAGAATTACTCAGTTGACTGTCTATACCAGCCGTGGGCAAACTATGGCCCGTGGGCCGGATCCGGCCTGTTTGAAATGAATAAAACTAAAAAAAAAAAAAGACCGTACCCTTTTATGTAATGATGTTTACTTTGAATTTGTATTAGTTCACACAAACACTCCATCCATGCTTTTGTTCCGGCCCTCCAGTCCAGTTTAAGAACCCATTGTGGCCCTCGATTCAAAAAGTTTGCCCACCCCTGGTCTATACAGACAAATGCATTTGACTTCTGGTTATTAACCATTCACTCACTGGGATTTTTTCTTTTTCTCTGAACTGACTGAATAATTGGGTCAAGATGATCCCTCTGGTTTGCCTTTATAGACATATCATTAAACAGTTTCTGAAACTTAATGTTGTTCTGTCATATAGATGTGGAACTTCAGCAGAGCAGTGAAGTTCCGTGACACTTCCAGGATCCCGAGAGCGAGGATTCATGGAATCAGAATGTCACATCTGGAAGGAACAATGCACATTAAGTTATTCCAACCTCCTCACATTTGATTCATGGGAAAACAAAAAGAAATTTTATAGTTTGGACTCTGATGTAAGCCAGGCACTGAATCATCTTCAGGGAAGAACAGTCATTATTCACCCAATCAGTCTGTATTGAGCATCTCCTGTGAGTCAGCTGCTGTGCTACATCCTGGAAATGTAGCAGTGAGTAAGACAAGTGCCCTTGCTCAGAGCCTCTGGGAGGGCAGGCATGGAGCATGCACACTCTTACTTTACAAGTCCTTTCACATGCATGATGGAATTTAATCCTTAGAACCACCCTTATATATAAATGTAATTATCCTCTTTTTTGAAATGAGGCAAGTTTCAGAAAGATTTAGTAATTTGCCCAAGGTCATAAAAAGACTCATAAGAGGCAGAACCTGGGCTCAAATATCTATCTCCTAACTCTAATTCCAGTGTCCTTTCCAGTATACCGGAGATCCCTCTGATTAAAACTCCGTGAGAAGTATTCTTCCCAATGGGCTGTTGAAAATTACTTCGTTGGTTTCATGACCATATTCCCCAAATGTAAACGAGGACCGGTGCACTGCAAGGAAATTTCTGGGATTTCTGGTTTCATTTATGTGCATCCCAGACAGCAAGTTATATGTAGGTATACATTTAACAAAGTCCTACCAGGGGGCAAGAGACTTGTAGTTATGCAGGTAACAATGTACTTATATTTAAAATACATTAGTTTTGAGATTCTCCTAGAAAATCTGACATACCTCATCATAAATCTACTTTATCATGTGTTGATCCAATACACAATTGAAGATGGTTCAAAAATATTATGTATTAACTCAAACATGGCATGAATCATGATTTACTTATTAAGAGTTTTCCCCAAACTCTTACCTAATGTTTGATTACCCAGATTGAATTAACATGTCAATAATTTTAAAAAGTATTTTTCATACATCTTGCCCACTTACCCGTGTTAACCATGAGGGGGTGGGGGGAAGACACCTACTAAGAAAGGCTCCTGGTGGCTAACTGGGCCTAGCAGGCATTTCTGCATAAGGGTCTCTCAGGCAAACTGCACTTCCTGGAGAGACCTCTGTGCTAAACTGCAGGCCTGCACTGTGTTCCTGCCCTCTGAGCCAGCCCTTATAAAGGTTTCCTGGATCTATTTCAACCAATAGGATTGAGGCTTTCCCCATCCAATCAGAATGCACAGCTCCCCCTCCAGCCCCCCCCTCCCCCAAATTGAGACCAATCAGGATAGTGCCCTTTGTACCAATCAAACTTCCCGGATTCAGAGCCCTCATTCACATGAGGATGGAGGGGGCTCCTGTCCACATAAGCCAGTTCCCCTGGCTAGGGAAGTATGCTTTCCCTGACCAGGAAGCAGACCAGCATAGAGCTGCTTAGCTAGAGAGGGACCCTGAAGAGGGGCCTGGCACACCTGCAAGGAGCTGTGTAGCTGGAGAAGAGCCACATCACAACTGAGCTAGTCTCCACAGCAGTGCTGTCCTCACAGCCAGCCTGTATCACTGTTGAGCTCTGTACT